AAGAATCTTATCCCCATCTCCTTTCACCAGACCTGTCTAGACAAGATGAAAACCATTCAGTGGGGACTCTACTTTCCCCCACACACTCTGAAACTAAACTCCCTCTTGGAAACTTGTAAGTCAGTCACTTCATGCCTTTATAGTCCCTTCCATTTTAGGTAGCCAATGTCTAAGTTGTCCATCTCTATCAACCCTGTATACAGAGGGGATAGGATTGATCTTGGATGTGAAGACTCCTTCCTTATCAGTTTCTATTTTGAGCTACTACATCTGTAAGTATAGGTCAGGTTCATCAAATTGTAGCAATTTACACTTGTTTCCTTTTTTGGGTGTTCTTGTGCAGCTCCCCTCATCACTTCACATCAGCTGGGTGTTTCACTCTCAGCTCCAGCCCTCTGTGGTTATGTCCTTGTCCATGGGTTCAGGAGTCCACAGGTCTCACCACACTTCAGAACAATCAACCTTCTTCTTCTCTCTCTCATCTCCAGGTTGATGGGAAGGCATTGACCATGTTGAGTCAGACAATCACATGGTTTATTATGCCAGGAATGACAATTTCAAGAGGAATGGTGTCGCATTCACCATCAAAAAGACCATTTCAAAATCTATCTTGAAGTACAATGCTGTCTGTGATGATTTCCACCAGCCACTATTCGGAAATCCTGTGCAGGGTCACTATGAGTCTGAATCAATTTGACGGCACTTAGCAACAACAATAATAGACAAAATGTTGAATGATGCAGAAAGCATCAAAAGAAGATGGAGGGAATACACAACGTCACTATACAAAAAAGGAACAATCAGTGTTCAGTCATTTCAAGAGGTAGCATATGATCAAGAACCAATGGTAATGAAGGAAGAAGTCCAGGTTGCACTGAAGGCACTAGAGAAAGACAATGCTCTAGGAATTAACAGAATCAAAATTGAAATATTTAAATAATCTGATATAGAACTGGAGGTGCCCACCCCTTTATGCCAAGAAATTTGAAAGAAAACTTTATCTGACCAACTGATGGGCAGGGATCCATATTTGTGCCCATTCCAAAGAAAGGTGACCCAGTGGAATGCGGAAATCATCTAATAATATCATTAATCACATGCAAGTAGAAGTTTGCTGAATGTAATTTTAAAATGGTTGCAACAGAGAACTGCCAGAAATTCAAGCCGGATCTAGAAGAGAATGTGGAAGTAGAGATATCATTGCTGATAACAGGGAATCTTGAATGTAAGTGGAGAATACCAGAAAGATGTTTAGTTGTGCTTAATTGAATGACAAACTATGAATAACACTGCGAAAAATATGTATCCCACAACACTTGTGTTCATGAGGAATCTGTACATAGGCCAAGATGCAGTTGTTCAAACAGAACAAGTGGATACTGAATGGTTTAAAATTAGGAAGAGTATGCACCAGAGATGTATCCTTTCACCATACTCATATACAATCTGTATGCTGAGCAAATAATC